CTAAAAAATGTGACGTGATAGACAAACTCTGAGAGCAGCGTTGTTTTCAGTATCCCAAAATCTACGGGAAATCATTCTTCTTTTGCAGGAAACTTTTAGCATGTCAATCAGTGTAATAAACTTTGATTCCACCTTCCCCCCCCCCTCCCCTACAAACTCTGATGACAATTGTCACTTCAACTTGAAACTTCTCTGCAATTAATGTCTCATTGTAGGATACCTTTGGCATACAGTTTAGTCCCAAAATCGAGGGGCCAAAAAACGGGCGATATTATATTTTAGGGTCACTCTTTATTTAAAACTAAAATTAATTACTCGCTCATTATTGTAAATATACTAATATACTAATGTATTAAACAGTCCAAAAATGAGCAATAATAGATGCAAAACATTAACTTTATTTCTTTAAAATTTAACAATATGATAAAACTAGTTTCGACTTTACCAGGTCTTTCTCAATCGTAAGTTTATAATTAAAATTAGTCTATGACGTCGGTAAGGTGTATACAATAATAAAAAATAATAAATATAAATATTAATGGTAGACATTTACAATAAAATACTGTTAACACGGGCAATCAATTATATAAAACACAGAAATAAAAAGAAGAAAAAGGAAAAACCAATAATGGAATCATATATAATTTCATTATTCCATTATATATTAAAACTGTGTTGTATGGAATCATAAATTAATAAGTGGTCAACAAGTTAAAACGTATAAAGATTACACATCTAAAACAGACGATTGTCCAATGCAGCCATAATGTTATTTAAAAAAAAATTTTTGTGCAAGCGTGTCATGATAAATCCAAAGTCGTTTGGTTAAATTGGCCAAATGTAGTGATCGCCTATCAATTAAAATTTCTCTAATAGTCTTAACATATTTGGGATAAAGAATTTAGATGTAAACATAAAATAAATAAACCTACTTATTGTAATCATTTAAAACTTCTTATATTTTATAATTATGATATAACATTATCAGTGATGTTCGATCGTCGATGTTTTATAATGAAATGAACAAACGAACTAAATTGTGATGCTGTCAAATACAAGCGATAGTAATAT